GATTGCTTTATTAATGTACAGTTTCAGTCCACTTTCCTACACCCTGGTGGTGGTGGTTTCCTTCTGGTACATCACTGCACAGCATGGTATGATGGCAGATACAGTAGGCCCATCCAAAGCTGACCATGAGCCAGCACTTTTGCAAGTGATGTCAATCATCAGTTGGCTTATCCCCTGCAACAGGTGCTCTCCGAGCCTAATCCCTTTTCCATTTGTTCTACACCAGAGATTCTCAGAATGCAGAGACATATTGCAGAAGTTTACCTTCAGAAATCCAATCTCTTGGTTCAAAGCTAGTAAGGGTGCATTATTAGAATGCAATATGCTCTTAGAAATCCAGTATCAAAGTACAGAGCCATCTGGCTATATTATGCAACCTGTGTTAATTACCCCACCCTCTTATTGTTCATTCTGTGAGAACCGTATCACATAACAAATAGATATACTGTATATATTCCTACATTGGTGGACCGGGGGAAGGCGGAACTTACCCATGGCTCTAAAAAAAGGTGGTTTTTTTGTGAAAACTAATGAGAGAAAGTTAATGTAATTTCCAGAGGCAGTTTTAAATCCCTAGCTTCAAAACTGTCAAAAGCCCTCAGATGTACATGTACTTGTGCATAGCCTAAACCCCCAGAATAACAAGTTATTTGTTTATATTTGTAATTTTTTTACCATTCCAAGAAAACAGAACCCACCCCCCCCCCAAAAAAAGAAATTTGTTCTGGATCTGCCTTTGCATATAAATTGTACTACGCAGACCATGAGCCAGAGCATGAGGAGATTAAGTCGGTGCTCGGATCAGAAAGAGAAAGGCCCGATCTTGTTGGATTCAATAATCAACCGGTATAATTATTCATGAAAGTCCACACCCATCAGTTGCATGATGGTGAGGATTTTAGGATTGCAGAGGGGCCAGCTCAACCAGCGACTGGTCCACTAGTGATATGACCAGGGAGGGGGAGGGTGTGGACAAGCATGTTTCCCCCTCCTCTGCCCGATGTCCGTGCTCGTGCCTCGTCCCTGTTGAAATGTCGTGAAATGTACATGTACATGCACATAATCCACGCACTATATGAGGCATAGTTGATTTGCTGCCCACGCCCCCTTGATAATATCTGCGGCTACCTCGCCTCCCCTCATAAATTTTATCCCCCCCCCTTACTGCTGGTCCTTGGTCAGGCGAACCGGCACCCTTTGGATTTGGAAATGCAAATACCGGTAGTAGAAATTTCAAAAGGCCAGCACGTTCTCTCAGAGGATGAAGGTCCTTGAGAATTGTATTGACTTGTTCATTCCTTTGGACCTGTTCTGTACCTCTTCACAATACCAACTCATTAATTCAAAGTGCCTTAGTTTGAAGAGAGACTGGAATAAACTGGCCTCTGATATTATATCTCATCTCGGATAGCCGTAATTTATTTGATTCAGAAGAGTACATGCACTGTATATACCCATAGTTTGCAGTAAGGACTGGAATGCCATTGAGTCTGATCAGTTACTGCTTTGCATTTCACTATATCGGTGGTAACACCACAAGGGCACAGTGGACAGCCTTGCATGCCTGAGCATTTCTGGCAACCTCTTCAACCGTATTATTATTGTACTCTTTCCCTAAATTTTCTGGTAGCCAAAGCATTCTTTAGTGATTTAATTCACATCCTGCAGAGTATTGGTTGCATTTAATCACATCTCTAGTGGCCAAAGGGCCAAGATACAACAAAACAGTCATTAATCGCCGTGATGAAAGAGGTTTTTTCCTACTTGGCATGTACCAGACATGGGCATGTACTAAATGTGGGCATGTACATGTACCAAACGTGGGCATGTACCATGTACCAAACGTGGGCATGTACCAGACATGGGCATGTACATGTACCAGACATAGGCATGTACATGTACCAGACATGGGCATGTACCAGACATGGGCATGTACCAAACATGGGCATGTACCAAACATGGGCATGTACCAAACATGGGCATGTACCAGACATGTACATGTACTAGATGTGGGCATGTACATGTACCAAACATGGACATGTACCAGACATGGGCATACACCAAACATAGGCATGTATCAAATGTGGGCATGGGCATGTACCAAATGTGGGCATGTACATGTATATGTACCAAACATGGGCATGTACGAGTCCAGTATGTATCCCTTGATTTTGAGAATAAAAATGAAGAAAAATCTATATTAACATTTCACAGCGCTCTTTTTCTGCTCTTGGGTGTTTTGGCTCATAAAGGAATTTTAAAATGAGCATGTGTATACTTCCAGATCCCACAAAATGAGTCTTAGGTCTATTTTTCTTTTAGGTTTTTCTTGCATGTTGTGTTTGAAAGAGCAAAAATGAGCTCCCTCTGTTTTGATGGACCCACTGATGAAACTAGACATTGCATGGTTTCAAACATTGATACGTGTGTAGATCCTTTTTATTTCCCTTGCGCAAGATTCTTTGCCAGGCCTGTATTTCTGAAGTAGCTCTGGCCACTTGTGACTTCGTGTACGGTTTGGTCACAATCATTTTGTGCAATATTTCATACCCCTGAATCGCTCTGCCTTGACAGTGTGGTCATGGTCAAGCAGGGGGTCAGGGCGGGGTCATTTGGCATGGGAGCTGGGTCAGGTCATAAAGTTATGGGTAGAGTGGTCATCACAGCTGGTCATTGCTCTGGTTGTCTTGTGTGTCACTCGCCCTTGCTGCTGGTATGTGTTCTACCATAGCAGGCCAGAACACAGTGGGCACTGATATTTTGGGCCACAGCCCTGGGCTTGGTGTGTGTGTGTGTTCTGTTGCCTGGAGCTGTAACGGACATGAATTCCCGGAATGCAGACTTGCATGCCAAGGATTTAGCCCACAACATGAATTTCTTATGCAGCCATGACACAAACATACAGGCATGATTAAAAATCCCATGAGAATGTGTGAACGGTCTGTACAGTGTCTCGCAGTGTCTCTCAGTACTCGGCCGTTTTGTGGGACTGAGTCAGTTGAAATAATTGAATATGTATATTATATATTCAACTTTCCGTGCCATCAAATATTCTGTTGCGTGAGATGGCTCCAAAAGCAGAGCATAATATACATGTACATGTATGTAGGTATTTTAAGAAAAACGAAAGAAAAACAGGAAAGAAAAGTCATTTTGGCCTCATTTGTGGGTGTGAACATTGAGCTGTCTGCCAACTCATCCAAGAACAAACTCTCTGGTATCAGGTGTGTGTGGTCACATGGTTGTAGGTACAACTTCCAACATTTTGAACAGCGGTCCTAACACATTCAGAGTTAGCTTTGCATATCTGAGGCAATGAAAGGGAGAAACCTGCATCTAGATCCACTAAGTACATATACAAGGTTATCATAAAATGTAATGGCCGTCTCAATATGATTGTTTCCTTGAAATCGTTTCCTGTAATTGTATTAAATTTTAAAATGAGCCTTAGGTTACAGTTTTCAATTTCACAGACAAACATGGATTATCTCTTCTTGCAGTGTGCCGCATTCCTTGAAAAAAATCTTTGGAACCCGTCTTGCCAGGATTGCATGTACTGTAATTGTTGGAGTGTCTACAATATTTACAAGCTAGCATTGCCCTCCTAGGATTATGAGGTTTTGGAACTGACTTTTTTCCAACTGTGGTTGTAGCATCCAGCTGTGCATGTGCACATTTCCATTACAAAGCTCTGCACTGGCCTACATGCACACATAGATCTTTCATTGTCATATTGATATCTACATTATCATAGAACTCGGTTAAGCTATGATGTGCCGTTCTTGTTATACATGTATGCTTAACTTCAGAGGAAAAAACGTCTGGTCGTCGACATACACCGGTCATATTTATCAAGGTGTGTGTACATGTACATGTAGGTGTGCCAATGTCCCTCAGTGAATGGGCAGTGTAAACGCTTCACTGGAGCACAACAATGCAATGGAATTTGTAGAGGTACATTGTAAGTATCGTTGCTGGGAAAGCTTACAGTGCCTTCATGAATAGCGAGACTTTGGTCGCTGGATGCGGTTTTTTAAGTCATCAAAAGCTCTATTATCAGTCCACACTGCGGTATGTTACTGGTATTTTCAGGGAGACCAAGGGGCTGGATTTTTTTCCCCAGGACCTGTGACCAGGATGATGGATAAGGGGTCGACTTCGCCATCAACTTCCCTCCTGCCACCCCCCACATCTTTCTGAAACATGAAAGAAACTGTGCAAAAAGTAACAGTAGACTCTCGCTGACGCTTGTCTTGACCATTCACAACAGCTCGCTTTGTATCCCAAAAGTTTGACTCGAGTCCTTCTATTGCATTTTGCTTCGTCAAGAATACACACTAAATTATACTCTGATTGTGCCAAAATCGTTTGGAATTTCAGGCGCAAAAAAATCATATGCCTACTGAAGTGTTGCACTTATTGGTTTATGAGGTGTATCTGTCCCAAGGCCTTTTCGTGATTTCTGTTCTTGGTTCTGTTTACCTGTAGTTTCAGTAATCTTTACAGCATTTTACGCACTGGTGGTGGAAGTGGAAAGGGAGGGGGTGGGGGCCAGTGGCCCCCCTTACTTTTGCAAGGGGGAGGGAGGGGGCTAAACCCCTACCCCCGCACTTTTGGCAGGGAGGATTGGGCTTATATTGGATGGTTTGTTAATGGCTGGTGCCTGATGGTCTCACAACTGCCTCCCTCCCTCCCACTTTGAAAATCATGCCGCCACAGCTGCTTCTACATTTGTATGATCTTGATTACATGTACATGTACGTTTGAAATGTGGTACATGTGCCGTATGATCATCACCACGTGTTTGTCCTGAAGATGCCCCAGCTAATTACTCGTTGACTGCAGTGCGCAAATGACTAAAGATTCCATGCATTCCGCGGTGTCTTTTGCAGATTTATCCAGCCCCATAAACATACATGTACCACCCATGCCTAGTTTCAAGTTTTGCCGCAGTCTAAAATTTCCTTCTCTTGCCCCCCCCCCATTTCTGTGCGCAACAGGTATTGGGTACTCCATGTGTTGCGTGACCATCCTGTGTTGCATCTACTACAACGTTATCATCGGCTACACCATCTTCTACTTCTACTCTTCCTTCACCACCGAGGTGCCCTGGAGGACCTGCAACAACACCTGGAACACGGAGAGCTGCATGACGTCCAACTTCACCGAGGATGCCACCCGGCCATCCGCCGAGTTCTGGAAGTAAGTTTGGGGGGAGAGAAGGGGGGACAAGGGAGATGCAGGTTTGGAGCCTGCATTGACGGTAATCAGTCAGGGGTAGCTTGCACTGGTATATGTATGTCGAAATCAGTGTTGTATTCGAGTCCATCACAAGCCCCTTCACAAGTCCAGTCATAAGGCCAGTCATTAGTAACAGGGTGAACAATGACAAAAGAATGCTTTTCGTCACAGCTCATTTGAATCGCTTGGGCATTGTCTTAAGAATGAGTGACTTCTGATGGACTTACAGGGACTTGTGATGGACTCGAATACAACACTGGTTGGAATTGTGAATAGGACGTGCGGTTGTCATAACAGCTGGTTTAGTCCCAGCTGTTGCATGTTAGCTGTACATGAATATCAGTTTGGTATCTGATGCCCTCATTGGTACATGATAAACAGTGGTACTGACTCGTGAATTGTACAACCAACAAAGAAGGCCCGAGTACGTGTACATGTATGTATATATGTACATGTATGTTCTAGTATTACTACCACCATGGTTTAAGACCTGTGGAACATCCCTAAAAAGATGTCTTGGAATGATGGAAAATATTTGCGCCATATTAGATGCAACTGAAGACATGTTTAACCAAAAATGAAAAAAGAATCTTGCCATTCGGTAATTTTGAAACACGACTTTTAAGTGTTTGTTGTCCAGGCTGGATTTTCATAAAAGTTGTCAAGTGTCGAAAAATCATTGTTGAGGGCAGCAAGTGCGGTAAATCGGCCAACATGATGACATGATACGTGGAATTATTTTGAACTGTAGTTAGGCAGTGCACGTATGGCACCACTCTTCTTTGGCGCACGCAAGCAAATTGCCTCAGACTGACACGAGTTGTAACAGCCCGCTGGGCCAACGACGCTCCTGTCTGTAGACGCACTGCATTGTGATATGCTGAGATAGAGTACTATACAGTGCGTGCATGACCTGGCACTGAGACTGTCCATGCTTTTGTCTTGTGTAGGTCCACATGTAAGCTGGTATTACGACTCAAAAGGCTGTCATTAAGACAGAAACTTTACAGTACAGTGGGTAAATTTGAGGTTCACATTTTGAACAGAAAAGCCTAAATTCATAGCAGCAGTGACCATAATTGTCTGGAAAAGTGTGAACAAGTGTAAATGTAAAAAAATGAAATGCATTTTTTAAATACATGTACTTACATGTACATGTACGTATACATGTAACCCGAAAGGAATGATAAATAACTTTCATACGCAGGAGAATTGTGAACTTGCATGAAAAATATTTACCATAAATGTTATCACATAAGTGTTATCACATGGCTGCTTGTGTCAAAGTTTACTGGTTTAATGAGAAACACTCCAGAAAATTGGACCACCCGACTGTTCCAGAGGTTTGAAGTGCAAGACTGAGATGTACAAATGTACTATTAACCCGGTTGCTGTTGGACTGCCCAGTGTGAATTCAGAACACTGCAAGGTTGGCACAGTGGTTCTTGTTTCACCTTCCACCCCTAGCAAGCTGATTCAGTCTGTGCATGAGCTTTCTCTGGATATTGGTCGAGGTTCCCCCCCACCCCTACGACTGAACACTTCTTCATGGACTAAGATTTTCTTTGAGCTTGCGAGCCTTTGTTTCATTACCAGCGATGCGTAATGCCGGCATAATAAAGTGATGCAGTTAACTGATGCTCACAGTGACTGTGTCTGTGATTACGGTCCATGGAGTTGGGCTGTCGACATGAAATGTAAACACAAGACAGCTCAACACATCCTGAGAGTTGGCAATGAGGTGTGGAAAGTTTACATTGACATCTTCTATGGGTGCCAGCGTATTTTCATTTTGCACGTTCCTATCACAGATACACACATTGTGAGTTGGTTTTTCTCTCCCCCCCCCGAGCTTAATAACCTGCTGTGACCAACTCCTGGTGGGGGGGGGGTTAGGGCAAGACAGTGGTCCTTTGTAGGGTTCAGGTCAGGTTGGTGCTGATGTGCACATTGTTCCCAGTGACGTGGACAATACACCCGAGATGGGAGCCGGACTGTGAATATTAGAATAATAATTTCTGGCACTGCTGAATTTTCCGGGGGGAGCGGGGGGAATTAACGAAGGTTTTCAGCTGAACGCCTGAACGCAAAAGTTTCACCCCAGCACTTCGGTCAATAACTGGCTCAGACGCTCAAGGTTGAGATTCTTGAGGGTTGACTGAGACCAAGATCTGCAACAGTGACTCAGCCAGACAGCAGTTACATATTTTAAGCTGGAATTTTCCAATTTAAGTAACAGTAGTTGCTAGGGTCATAATGTGTTCCTGGATTCCAGCAATGATATTCTATCTGTTTTAACGGTATTACATTTCATGCATGTAATGTGGTGTATGTTTATATTATTTGCTGTTTCAGTGTACATGTGTTTGTTTTGTTCATGTACTCGGTATGCGGTTTTGTGAAGCTACACTGGACAGCTAAAGAAATTTGCCACTTCTGTCAAAAATTCACCCTGAAGAAAAAAACAATTTTTGTACTCAGGTATGCTACAATACCCCGTACTCATCACATGCCCAAAAGTAATTGATTATCTTTATAACAAAGAAGGAATTGACATGCACAGCAACTTGGTTACTGTATCAAAAGTCACACACAAAAGCACTCTCCACCAAGCAAAAATGACCCATGAATGGACAACATTTAAAACAACCAATGCATGAGTGGTTTCTGTATAAGGATGCCATCCTTACTGACTGTACATACACATTATTGAAAAGTAATGATTTTGACTTCTTTATTTTGTCCTGTGACATTGATTTCCGCGTGAAACTTACGGCTCATTCTGTTACATTCTGTGACTTTTGGGCATGTGATTAGTAAAGGGTATTGCAGCATACCTGTGTACAAAAATTGTTGATTTCTATGGAGTGAATTTTTATGTGTGGCCTTTGACAGAAGTTTCTTTTACTGTCCAGTTTAGTAAGTGTTAGTTTATTTGTTCTGTCTGTCATTTGCCTCAATTTACCCAGGATAAAAACAATAAAGAACTTAAAAAAGAAAAAAAAATCGGATGCACTGTCATGCGCAGGGAGAGCAAGTCTTGCACAAGCCCTCCTCCAGGTTGTGAAGAGCACTTTCATGTGGTGGTCTTGCTCTGTCATTGTGATATTTAGGCGTTGTTACTGACATGCATCTTGTGCGGCCCTCCTCTCTTAGGTTGCCCTTGAAGCAGTGTGAAGCACAGAGCGAATGTATGTGCACATGCACCACCTTATGCAACATGAATTGCCTTGCATAAGTGCATTGCATAAGGCATCCCTTTCACATGGCCAGACATGCATAATGTTTGCCCATCAGTATCATACTCCTGGAGACTGACCTTGTCTAAAAAAAAAGACCTAGTAGGGAAAAAAAGGTCATCTTTCCAGACACAACAGAAATTGTTATGCCTCTTTGCTTCAGATGGCATTCACATGTACATAACTATTGGCTAAATGACTAACATGGTAGCATTGATCCCAGATACTCCCATACCTGTAGATACACAGTAATTGCATGTATGTGGTGTGAGTGATTACATGTACATGTACATAGTCTACAGCACTCAAGGTTTGAATTTGCTGAATATCAATACAAATTCTAAGAAAAAATGGAACAAGCTGTTCTCTTCTTTAATACAGTATGAACATGTACTGGTACAAGTGTGCTTGATTTAGCAAGATTAACCACTTGCTGCCGGGGAACCCCGTTTCGGGCACCATGGGTTTATACGCAGAGCTGGGATGCCCAAAATAGGACATAAAGAGCTGGTCCGTGTAACAAAAGACCATACTCGGAACAAGACCTGCTGGGAATTGCCTTCATTTTTC